GTGGCCGGTGCTGTTGGCCAGTGCTGTAACCACTGTGCCATGGGTGACTAGCCATCATCAGATATTTCTTAAAAACATAGTTTGTAAAGAATGTATAACAGTGTATCATATGGATATACCATAATTTATTTAACCCCTTTTCTGTTTTTTTTAAAGACATTTAGATAGGTTCTGAACATTTGTCCAATATGCTTGTGACCAGTGTATGAAGGTACCCATCATAACTAACACTTGCTAAGACTGTTCATCAGTACTTAAAAAGTTTTCCTTGATAATCTGATAGACAGAAAAAGTATTCTTTTGTTTTAATTTGGAGGTCTTTGATCGCTACCTACAGCTGAGATTCTTTTTTGCCTTCTTTTGTGACTTTATTTATATCCTATATTCATCTTTCTCTGGGTTTAAATAATTACATGCACTTTTTTTTTTCTTGAGATAGAGTTTCACTATGTTGCCCTTGGTGGAGTGCTGTAGCATCATAGTTCATAGCAACCTCAAACTCTTGGCCTTAGTGATTTTCTTGTCTCAGCCTCCCGAGTAGCTGGGACTATAGGCATCTGCCACAATGCCTGACTATTTTTTGGCTGCAGTTGTCATTGTTGTTTAGCAAGCCTGGGTTGGGCTCGAACCCGCCAGCCTCAGTGTATGTGGCCAGCGCCCTACTCACTTAGCTATGGGCGCCAAGCCTACATGCACTTTTGTTTAAGATATCAACTTCTTTTCTGTCATGTTTATTGCAGACATGCTTCAGATTTCTTTTAAATTTACTTTTTGTCTTTTTGTTTTTCTTGAGGTAGGGTCTCTCTCACTCTGTTACCTGGGTTGGAATGCAGTGGCATCATCAAGCTCACTGCAACCTGAAATTCCTGGGCTCAAACAATCCTCCTTCCTCAGCTTCCCAAGGAGATTATAGATGTGCACTACCATACCTGGCTAATTTTTCTATTTTTATGGTGTACTTCTATTGGCCAAGCTGGTCTTCGAACTCTTGTCTGGAAGCAATCCTTCCACCTCAGCCTCCCAAAGTGCTAGGATTACAGGTGTGAGCCACTGTGCCAGGCTTCAATGTACTTTTTAATGTACTTAAGCTTATTTTTTGATATACTATAGATCTACATTTCCTTCTGTAGTTTATTTAAATGCTGTTACGCTTTAAAGCCCCCATTTGTAAGCCCAACCATTCAGTTTTCATATTTGCATTTTTAATTCAGTGTTTCATAACCTTCTGGCACTGCAGATTCCATTAAGACTCTCGTGAAAGTATAAGGCTTTTCTGGAATTTTATCCATGAGCCAGAAAGTTCAGAACCTCTGCATTAATCTTCCTGGAATTAATTTTGGGGTATTATAAAGAGCTAACCAATTTTCCCCAAACAGCACTGGTCCTAGCATGATTCATGAAATAACCTTTTCTATCCCAACTAATCTGTAACATATCATTTCTTATTTATTAGATTCTCACAAATTTCAGAAAGATTCTTTTAACCAAGGTGATGGTTATCATAAACCTTTTCTTTGTAAAGGCAAAGCTAAAGCTAAAATGCTTACTAGTCATTTTACGTAATATTTTTCTTTAGAAATATATTCAAATTTGAAAACTATCATTGTCTTTATATATCTCTAATTAGTATTTATCAACCTAGATTTCAAATCCGATTACAAAATAAGATAGTACTAACAATGTCTTAATGTTTTAGTTATAATACTGTGCCATTGTGCAAGTTGCTTATGATCTTTATTGTTCCTTTTTATTTTGAAAAATTTCAAACTTTTAGAGAAGTCCAAAGGATAGCAAAATCAATACCTTTAAACTCCCTCTTTACTCTGATTTTGTTTGTTTGTTCGAGACAGGGTCTTGCTTTGTCACCTGTGTGAAGAGTGCAGCGGCCTCATCATAACTCACTGCAACCTCAAACTCTTGGGCTCAAGAGATCCTCTTGCCTCGGCCTCCTAAGTAGCTAGGTGTGAGCATGATTGGCTAATTTTTCTATTTTTACAGACAGCGTCTTGCTCAGGCTGGTCTGAAAACCAAAGTGCTAAGATCATAGGTGTGTGCCACTTTATCTGGCTTGATTCTTAATTAATCTCTCTCAATTTTCTTTCTGTTTTCAACATAAACTTGTATTTTGCTGAATCATTTGGAAGCAGATCCACAGACATTATGAGAATTCACTCTTTAGTATTCTAGCAAGTCTCCTTTGTTTTTTTAAATATAGTAGAACCTTTCTAAGTTGACCACCCAAGAGACTGTAACTAACTGGTCAATCTACAGAGGTGACCAACTTAAGGAACATGGCCTACTGAACTGATACATACATGTGTCCAGTCTATGAAAATTAGGTCAACTTAAGGAGGTGGTCAATGGTGGGAGTGGTCAACTACTGAGGTTCCACTGTATTTTGTAGAAAAAAAAATAAATTTTTTTCCAGTGAACACTGATGTGCCTACCCGTTACATTCTGGAATTAATTACTGCAAGTGTTTCATAACACTTTTATCCATTCATTAATCCATCTGATTTTTATATGCAATGAAATGGACAAATATGCACACTTGCTGAGTTTTGATAAATAAAAATATTCATATAATTAAAACTCTTAGCAAAATGAAGAGCATTACCCTAATAAGTTCCCTCATATGGAAATATGGACCACTTCATGAAATTATGTTCTATTTTTCTGCAGGAGTTTGACTGCTTTATTTATTTATTTCAAAAAAAAGCTTAACAAGGAAAATAACCCTGGTGGCAATGACGCTTATTTTCTCTAAAAAGTTACTTGTCACAATAGTTCTCTTCTTTAGTATGCTGGACAAGACAGCTGAATTGTATGTGAGGTTGAGATGCTCATTTATGAGACTGACATTAGAACAAGGATCAGCAAACCACAAAAATGTCTGCCATCTGAGTATGTCAATGAAATTTTACCAGCTATGCTTTTGAAGTGATACTGATGTTGCCGGTATAGGGTCTTACTTGGAGAACCACTGAGATACAGGATGTTATGTCATCAAAGAAGTAAAAACGTGTGTGTGGTGGGGTAGAGGACTAGGGCAGGGAAGGGTTCCTGAAGGAAAGGAAATGAGATGAGTCTTTAAGGATGCCTAGAAGCTAGCTAGTAAAAGGATACTAAGAGAGGAAAGCTTTGAGAAAAAGAAGGGTAGTAAGTAAAAGCCTAATATTTTAGGAAACGCCAACCAGCTTAGTGTTATTTGTGCATAAAGTTTAATGCAGGTGGCTTGGCACCTGTAGCTCTGTGAGTAGAGCGCCAGCCACATACACCAAGGCTGGCAGGTTCAAGCCCAGCCAGGGCCTGCTACACATCAATGACAACTGCAACCAAAAAGTAGCTGGGTGTTGTGGTGGGCACCTGTAGCCCCAGCTACTCAGGAGGCTGAAGCAAGAGAATCTCTTAAGCCCAAGAGTTTGAGGTTGTTGTGAGCTGTGACACCACAGCACTCTACCTAGGGCGACAACTTGAGACGCTGTCTCAAAAAAAAAAAAAAAATGTAATGCAGGTGGTGGTTGATCAGACTAGAAGGGCAGAGAGGCCAGAGAGCATTAGTATCTCTCACCTGCTCTATTACTAAGCACTTCAGACTTTACAATGTAAGATGATCAGCATAAATGATAACAAGCAATTTAAAGGGTTTTAAGAAGAGCAGGGACTTGATGAGATCTGTATTTTTAGAAAGATCATTTACGTGGAGAACTAGAAGCACTACGATTATTTATTAGGAGTGTTTGAAATAGTTATTTATGGAAGCCCACTCTTATCTAATTCTGCACAGACGCAGAGAAGGGAAGGAAATATAACAATACTTAAGTCATTGTGAAATCTATTTAAAGTCACTAGTAACTTGGCTCTTACTGATGCCAAGAAGGACATCTAAACTTTAAAGACGCCACAGGCTGGGCACGGTGGCTCATGCCTCTAATTCTAGCACTCTGGGAGGTCGAGCTTGAGCTCAAGAGTTTGAGACCAGCCTGAAAAAGAGTGAGACCCCCTCGTTTCTACTAAAAATGAAAAACTGAGGCAAGAGGATGGCTTGAGCCCAAGGCTTTGCGGTTGCTGTGAGCTGTGACACCACCATGCCACTCTACCAAGGGAGACAAAGTGAGACTGTTTCAGTGAAAAACAACAACAACAAAGACACTAGACAAAAAGACGGTCACAAAACTTTGTAGTTGTCCAAAATATGGTCATGCTAAATAGAAAAGATTCTTCTGCAAGAAACATTCATATGTTTCTTGCAGAAGAATCTGCAAAAAGTAGCTTCCTGTGTAGCGCCAGCTTTCTACTTCCGTTCTTAAATGTGTTTATAGACCTTTCTACATGTCAGAAGTAAAATCCATTACAATGAAGATATCCAGACTTAAGGCTCAGAGGAGGCTAGAAGCTATGTCTTAGTCTTCCTAATCCTATCCAGGGGGTTAGAAATCTTGGAAACCAGTCCTATTTTACAACTTGGTAGATCTATGGGGCTATAATTTTCTCAATTATGAAATGAGTTAGAATAGATGATCTGCGAAACAACATCCCTTTTTAACCCATCTCTGACATCAACAAAGAACATCTTCATCTATTTTCAGACAATAATGACAAATGTGTGTTGTCTGGTATGTATGTACAAGCCATTAAAATAATTGTGGCTTAATCAAGGTCACTTATCTAAGGTTCTACATGTCCTGAAAAATCATCTATCAAAAGGAACGTTCCTTTCAGGTTTTTTTTTTTCCCAGTCAATTTCACCATGGCACTAATAGCTATACTAGGAGAAGATTTAAGCAATGCTTTGGAATGACATTTGTTTTCGCTGTACATTGTTAGTGCAAAACCCACCACGGATCAGTTTTGTGGATGAAGGAAAAAGTTAATTTGTCAACACTTCATTTCTCCTTATTTAAAAAAAAGAGATAATTGGCCCAGCCTGGTGGCTCATGCCTGTAACCCTTGCACTATGGGAGGCTGGGACTGGTGGATGGCCTGAGCTCAGGAGTTCAAGACCAGCTGGAGCAAGAGCAAGACCCCGCCTCTAAGAAAAAGGAAAACACTAGCCCGGCATCGTGGTGGGCATCTGTAGTCCCAGCTACCCGCGAGGCTGAGGCAAGAGGATCACATGAGCCCAAGAGTTTGAGGCTGCTGTGAGCTATGACGCCACTCTATCTAGGGTGATAGAGTGAGACTCTGTTTAAAGAAAAAAAAAAGAGAGAGAGATAATTAATAGTAACAACAGCGGTACACAGCAGTTAGAAACCTCTGGATGAAAGTTAGGAGCCAAATTTTATTACTGAAAAGGGCAGGTTGGCTGAGAAGGGCAGGATAGACGCATCGTCTCAGCAAATGATTAAATGCAAAGCCGCCACGCTTGCACAACACCAGGAAAGTTTATTAGCTTGCTTTCTTGAAATGAACACTTTAGGTCATCTGCAGAGATTAAAGCAGGCCTTTATGTCCACTCCATGAAATCATGACTCCCACCTGTGCATTTCGGGCCAATGAGTACCCATAAAGGCCATACCTGTAATCGCAGAGTTTAGGCTGACTGCCGCACTGCTGCTTGCAAACCACACAGTAACTGCAGAGGGGCACGTTGCCGCGGATCCAGTGATGGGGCATGGCGTCCAGGGCCTTGCTGTCATTCTTGAGCATTATCTCTTTGCACTGGAAGCGCTTGTCGGCCTTCTTGAGGCAGCCCTCGTCCACGCGGAGCCCACAGCAGTCGCAGAAGGCGCCCTGCAGAATGTGCTGTGCACAGACACAGCAGTAGGTGGGCTGGCTGAACAGGTCCGTGTCGTGCCACCGGTGCTTGCTCTTGCGGAAGATGTCCCTGCGGTGCAGCTGCCGGCGCGACCGCTGGAGGCTACACCAGAAGGTGATGAACACCGGCAGCAGCACCGAGCACAGCGTCCACAAGAGCAGGTGCCCATCCGCAAACAGGCTCTCGGAGGGCGGGACCAGCGCCGGTCGCCTCTCCCCTTCCATCTTCTCCAAGGACCGCGTCTAACTAGGAAAGAAACAGGCGGGGTCCACTCCGGTCTCGCTCTTCCCTCCCCGCCTTCCACGGGCGAAGGCGAGCGCCATCCGTCCAGGTGGCTGCGCTCTCTCCCCTGGCGAGCACGCGCGTCGCCTCCCAGTCGCCAACCGCGCACCTGCTAGCCGAGGGGGCAGCGTCCAGCCGTCACGGTCCCGTCCCCTCCCTCCGGCCTTCTTCGGCCCCGCCGCGGGAGAGCGTCCGGGAGCCGGAGGCCGTCGCCGCCTCCGCACCTCGCCGCCGGGCTGACTCCGGGAGGCGCCCAACACACGTTTTCAGGATGCCTTACGCGGAGAGCTCGGACGCCTCCGCGGCACTGCGCCAGTCGGTATCCGTAACCGCCAGCCCCGGCCTCAGCCCCGCACTCCCCCAGGGGGCGTCCCGCCGCTCCGGGCCCGGGGCGCGGCCTCCTCCAGGGCCCCGCCCGCACCCACGCGCGGCCCAGCGCCCCGGCCCCTCTCGCGAGGCCTCCGGAGACCGGCGCCTCGGCCCCGCCCGCCCTTGGGCCCTATCTCGCACGAGGCAGAGGGGCGGCTCCCGGTCAGCCCTCCAGCAGCCCGACGCGGGGGCCTGCCGGCGGCGACCAGGCCGCGCGCGGGGAGGCTTGAAGCGCCAGCAGCCGGTGAGCCGAGCGCCCGGCCGGGGCCGCGGGCGGGGGCGGGGCCTGCGGCGGGGAGCCTGGCGGTTGGCGGCCGGGCTGAGGGGCGGGGCCGAGGTGGGAGGTGGGAGGGAAAGCGGCCAGGCTGAGGGGGCGAGGACGTAGAAAATAGGGATGATGGAAGGGGCGGGACACCACAGGGTGGGGCGTGGCCTAGGGAAAGGAGGGGGCTGAGTAACAATGGGGGCGTTAAAGAGGGTGGATGTTTGAAGTCTGTAGATTCCCAGTCAAAGAAAGTTCCAGTACGAATTATTTACAGCAGCGGTCCCCAACCTTTTTGGCACCGGGGACCGTTTTCATGGCAGACAATTTTTCTCCCAAGGGGTTGGCGGGCGAAAAGGAGGGGGTGGCTTAGGGATATTTCAAGCCACTACATCTCTTTCTCAGATCATGAGGCATTTGATCAGTGTTTCTCAACTTTTTTTTTTTAATCTCAGGGCGCACTTAAATTATGCTGATAAAAAAGAACAAAGAAAAAGAATACACTTACTGTGCTTTCAATTTCTTTCAAAAATAATTTAATTAATGATCTTTAAAAATTTTGGGGGCCCACCTAAGATCCTTTCGCGGGATCCTTTTTTCGTTGAAAAGCACTGCTAGTAGATTCTCGTAAGTAGCACGCAACCTATATCCCTTGTACAGGCAGTTTATAGTAGGGTTCATATTCCTATGAGAATCTAATGCCCTCTATCAGAGGCAGGGCGCAGGCAGTGATGCTAGCAACCAAGAGGGCACGTAAGTACAGATGAAGCTTCCCCACTCACCTCCTGCTGTGTAACTGTTTCCTAACAGGCCACAAAGTCCTTGTCTGCAGCTGAGGGTTGGGGACCGCAGATTGACAGTATGAGTTAAGCTTAATCTATGACCTTCAACTGCCTCTCTTCCTCACTGTCTGTGAGAAGGGAGTTCGGGCATGGTTTTGAATGTTGGAATGGAGAACATTGGCAGTTTGGAGAGTGTTACACACTAAGGAATGTGATAGTCCAGTCAAACATTGATAAATGTCGCTCCTGGCTAGTTATTAAACACATACTGGCACATAGAATGTGCCCAGCACCGTGCAGGGAATCCTGGCGCTTTCAAAGCCCCAGACTTGTTGAAATATGCCTAACAAGCAGTGTTATTATCTAGCACTGTGTGTGATGGCTTAGTGCACCCCAGCCTTCATCTCTGCACTTGCTAGGCACCATACCGAGTGCATCATCCCCGTTTTACAAGGCATGGGGAAGTTAAGAAACATATTTCATGTCACACAACCAATGTTGGGACTAAGATCACTTTTACTTACTCAGCTTCACCCTAAATCAAGCCATCATAGAGATAGTTTATTTTTTTTCCTTTTTTTTGGAGACAAGAGTCTCACTCTGATGTCCTGGGTAGAGTGCCATGGCACCATAGTTCACAGCAACCCCAAACCCTTGGGCTCAAGCAATCTTCCTGCCTCAGCCTCTCAAGTAGCTGGGACTATAGGTGTGTGCCACAACACTGAGCTAGTTTTCTGTTTTTAGTAGAGATGGGGTCTTGTTATTGCCCAGGCTGGTCTCAAACTCTTAAGCTCAAGCAGTCTACCTGCCTCAGCCTCCCAGAGTGTTAGGATAACAGGTGTGAGCCACCTCGCTCAGCAAGAGAGTTTATCTTATTCTGTTTCTTCTCTGAGAACCTTGTCAAAATGCAGATTCTGATTTCATTTCTGGGGAAGAGGCTTGAGAATCTGAACTTCTAATAAGATCTCAGGTGATGCTGCTGCTAGTTCCACATTTTGAATATTGAGGCTGAAGTGTTTAACAGTGTGAATTATGAAGAACAAGAGGTTAGTTAATGGTGTGGTATAATGGAAAGAGTGTTGTATGGGATCAAGAGTCCTGGGAACACCTTGAACTTCATATATTTGTGCCCTTTTGGGTTCATCGGTACCCCTCCTTGGGTCTCAGGTATCTTATGTGTAACACGGGGGGTTACAGATATGTCCAAAGCATCCCTTCTGCTCTGCTAGCCTGCCCTGTGTGTGGAAATGTCTTTGTCTTTTATGAATCCTAGCTGATGCAGAACCCTTAAATTAGTTTAGATTGAAAAGGATATAAAAATAAACGTTAAAAAATGAGTTTTTTTATACCCATTATGGGGTATTTAGAAAATATAGAAAATTAAAAAGGAAGAAAAAAAGAATTATCCATCTCTCACCCTGAAAATAACCTCTGTTTGAACATTTTGGTCTATTTTCTTCCATTATTTTCTATGGAAACGGTGTTTTCTTTCTTTCTTTTTTTTTTTTTGGGATACACACTTTTGATGATGTGGTCAATATATGAAGTCTGACAATTAAGTTTGCAAACTCGTTCTAGAAAAAGTGCTACATACCTCATTGCTGAATATCGCTGTGGTCACCTTCAAAGTACACTCCCCTTGGGGAGCTGTGGACCAATGTCAGTCCACCCTTCAAACAATTTTGGAATGCTTTTTTTGGAATGACCATCAGTGCTGTCATATGGCACACAAAAACGTGCAACAACAATAATGAACACCATTCAGCAAGACACTGCCACACGTTGACATGAACACAGCTGTGAGACCCAGATACCCAGATATACTAAGGTTATGAAACCTTACCAAGTTGGTTGTACAGTGCTGCCAACCTAAGTATATGGTGGCACGTTCATGAACTTAATTGTCAAAGCTCATACTACTACAGCCTGATCATTCCAGAAAAAGAGTTTCTAAATTGCTGTGAAGGGTGGACCAGGCACTGGCATCAGTGCCTACTTTCCCAAGGGGAGTACTTTGAAGGTGATGGTATTGCTGTTCAGCAAAGAGGTATGTGGCACTTTTTCTAGGATGAGATTGTGAACTTCATTGTTAGCCCTTGTATTCTCTATCTGGTTCTTTTTCATTTTAGCATTGTAAAATAACGTCTACATGTTGTTTTAAAAAGTCATATGTAATAGCTATATTATATTCCAGTCTATAAAGATAGCTCACAGTTTCTGTAAGTTTACTTTTCTTGTTGACTAGGTAAGTTGGTTCTAATATCTTACTATTATGAATAATTCCTCTGTTTATGATTATTTCCTTATTCTCACATTTGGCTGAAGAATGTGAAATTTTTTTTTTTTTTTTGAGACAGAGCCTCAAGCTGTCCCCCTGGGTAGAGTGCTGTGGCATCACAGCTTACAGCAACCTCCAACTCCTGAGCTCCTGCCTCTGCCTCCCAAGTAGCTGGGACTACAGGCACCCGCCACAATGCCTGGCTATTTTTTGGTTGCAGCCATCATTGTTGTTTGGTGGGCCTGGGCTGGATTCGAACCGGCCACCTTAGGTGTATGTGGCTGGCACCTTAGCCATGAATATGAAAATTTTAAGGCTTATGGGAAAATTGTTAACCATATTAGTCTTTCTTTGCTGAGTCAAAAATTATCTGGAAGATTTCCGTGTATAGAGTTGGATCAATAGAAATTACCACATCAAGGCTGGGCTCGGTGGTTCACGCCTGTAATTCCAGCATTCTGGGAGGCCAGGATGGGTGGATTGCCTGAGCTTAGGAGTTTGAGACCAGCCTGAGCAAGAACAAGACCTAGTCTCTAAAAATAGCCGGGCGTTGTGGTGGGCACCTGTATTTATAGCAACTTGGAAGGCTGAGGCAAGAGAATCGCTTAAGCCCAAGAGTTTGAGGTTGCTGTAAGCTGTGATGCCACTGCAGTCTACCAAGGGGGGGTGTGTGTGTGACAAAGTGAGACTCTGTCTCAAAAAAAAAAAAAAAAGAAAAGAAAGAAAGAAAGAAATGACCACATCTGAGGAAATACACTCTTATTTCACTAAAAGCAGTAATAATAGGGGCCAGGCCATGGTGGCTCATTCCTGTAATTTTAGCACTCTGGAAGGTCAATACAGGTGTATTGCTTGAGCTCAGGAGAGCTCAGGCCTGTTGAGAAGGTTGATATAGGTGTATTGCTTTGAAACCATGCAGAGCAAGAGTAAAATCCCAACTTTAAAAAAAAATGAGCTGCATTGTGGCAGATGCCTATAGTCCCAGCTAGTCAGGAAGCTGAGGCAAGAGGATCATTCAAGCCTAGGAGTTTGAATTGCTGTGAGATGTGACGCCATGGCACTCTACCAAGGGTGACAAAGTGAGAATCTGTCTCAAAGAAAAAAATAACTTATTATTACTATGATAGCCAACCTGTGTTGCCTTGTTAGTAGGTCCTAGGCACTGTGCTCAGTTTATCATCCTTATTTTGTAGGCGAAGAAAACTTGGTTGATGTTACTGAGCCAGGAGTCAACTGAGTTGGTGCTTTGAACTCAGCTTTATTGATGCCAAAGCATGCGATGCTCTTCACACAGGTAAGGTGTCCCAGGATGTGATTTTTGGACCTCCGGCATCAGAATCATTTCAAAATGTGGATTCTCAGCTCCTAATGAGGTCTCCTGAATCAGAATTGTAGTGGAGCCAGGAATTTGCCTTCTTGATGAGTTCCCCAGTTAATTCTTTTATTTATTTACTCAAACTTTTGTTGACTTAAATTTCAAAATGTATTGCACATAAGGAAGAAATCACAAAACATATATACAGTCAAAAAATAATAAAACAAATACCTGTGTACTCACTCCCCAGGTTAATGTACTGGACATTAGGGGGCTCTCATGTGCCCCTCTGATCGCTGCCTCTCCCCCCACATCAAAGGGAATTACTATCCTAATGTTGGGGCCTTCATTCCCTTGCTTTTCTTTATAGTTTTGCCATCCCTGGGAGTATCCCTAAATAATATAGGTTTATTGTAAAGATTTAAAACAAGCCCAAACCTGCACCTGCTGGGAAATAGTAAAGCCACCCAGAAGGGAAGGTTCCCAGGAGGAGGTAGGCCAAATAGTGTCTCTGGGATGGAATCTGGATTCAGCTTCCCTGAGAAGATCCCTCCTTGGGAAGTCACACAGGTATTGGAGCAGGGCT